TTGCGATGGTGTATGTTAGATTTCGATAAAAAAATCACTGTGGTACTGGTACACGTTCAAACAGTCATTTTTTTTCAGTAATTTTTAGGGTCACGCTCAAATACTACTGGTAACTCAACATTAACTCAAATCTTATCTTAATTTATATGGATTTAAAGAGGACAAAATTTCCAAGAAATTAAAAAAAAAAGCGTGTCGATACGATAAATCTAGCCTAAGATAGAAGCATTTGAAAATCGACAAAATTTCGATGAATTTTTTTGTTGCGATAATTTTGTTGCCGAGTGTATTAGCGTATAATAATATCAGGTTTACACAGTCAAGTCTAACTGATTGAGAAGTATTTATACTTTGAGTTTTTAATGTCCAAAACACCTTTTCAATCAATAAAAAATTTAACTCAATTGGTTTACTGAAATTCTCAAAGAGTGAATCAATTCAAGCTAAAATTTATGCATTTATCAACTAATATATTTATATTAAATCATGTAAAAATGTTTTCATTTATAAAACTTACTGTTCTTTATCACCTATTTCTGGCACTCAAAACATATGTAAATTCACTCCAAATGAGTGTCAGGAATAGGTGAAGAGAAGGGACATGTGAGTTATACAAATAAAAAACATTTTCATATAATTTACATCAATATTTATTGTTTGGTACGTTAATTTTAGCTCAAATTGGTGCGCTCTTTAAAACTTACACAGCAAACCAATTGAGATCAATTGTTTATTGTTTGCAAAAGTGTTTAGAATCCATAAAAGTTCATGTACAAATATTTTTGAGACAGTTAGACTTGACCGTACAAGGGCTGATACCAATAAGTGGTATTTTATACATTATACTATATTATATATACTTTATGGTGCTTTATAATGGTTTCCAGGGCCCATTGGAATAAAGTAACTATAGGGGACTTGATTATTATGTACAAGAAGACCCCCAAACAAGTTTGGTAAGGATCTGTGACCCGCAGATGAAAGGCTCTCCTTGTAAGTCCCACTGCAAAATTACGATCGCTCCAGTCCACTATCTTAGCGAGCAAAAGTTCGAGCAAAAGATTAGTAGAGAAAATTTGGCTAAGATTAGTGGACAAAACTTCGTTACACTTAAGCGGTGTAACTCTCCGCTAGCAACAAGCAGCATCACTGCGTGACTTTTTTTCCCACGGGAGTTGGCGATCAAGATTTCAAGAGGTCCACGCCGGGAAAGTCACACCTCATTGAAGCTTAATGGTATGCTGAAAATAATGTCAAGTTCGAGTGGCTAAATAATTCATGGGAATATTCTCATTTAATAGAAAACAATCAAGGATTTATTGCAAATTATAAAATTAAATTAAGTATACAAATGAAACTCTAGGAGGTTGATCGTGACACGAAAGAGAGCACACTCTTGTCAGATTTTTAATTGAACTCGACTTGGTTTGATAATAGTTGTTGCCGGCTGGAACTGCTAATAGCGGTGACGGGTATATGGCGAGATTGATGTGTAGGAACTAGTTATAGGACTACAAGACCTTACTTACAAGGAGAGCCCGTCATATCCGGGTGACTCAATGATGAAACCCCCTATAGTTAGTTTGATCCAATAGACCTGTAACAACACTTTAAAGCATGATAAATATTTGAATATCATTTAACATTAATAAAAACCATATAATAGTTTTTCATGGTATCAGGCTGGAACCGTCAAGTCCAGCTGACTGAAAAGTTTTGGTACTTTGCCTTTTTTAAGTCTTGAATACTTGTTCAAAAAATAAACACTCTAGCTCAATTGGTATACTGTGCAAGCCTTAAAGAGTGAACCAATTTGATCTAAAAGATGAGGCTACAGTGTTTGTTTTTTGAAAAAATGTTCAAGATGTGAAAAGATTAGAGTACCAATTCTTTTCAGTCTTGGACTTGACTGTTTTAGACTGATACCATGTTACGCGATTATATGGTATCTATTAATGTTACATAATATTTAAATATTCATCATGCTTAAAAATGAGAGTCGATGTGCTCTGGCTGGCTGCAGAGAGACGACTCCCCTTGCTTGGCCGGGCGCCTCGCTTATATAGCAAGCAAGAGCGCGTTGATTGGCCGTCGGCGCAAGGTGGGGACGAGTGCAGCAGTGCACGTCGTTTGAGTGGGGACGCACGCAGTGATCTCGTATAGAGATTGGGGATAACAACAGTCCCATTGGATTAAACTAACTATAGGGGGTTTCGTCATTTGGTCGGGAGCCGGACAAAATCTCCGGTGACACAATCTAGACGACAAAATCTCCGCAGCATTTTTAAAATTTTTTCATGTTTTATAGGTATCTATAAATATTATTTTATTACTTTACTGGGTTATTTTGCTTTATTTTGGGTTATTTTGTCACCGGGGATTTTGTCGCGCGGAGTTTATGTCGGTAACCCATTTGGTCACCCGGACATGAAGGGCTCTCCTTGTTCATGTTTTATTTTGTGAGACCAGCTCTTCTCGGAGGCAGTAGCTTAATTGAACTCAGGCAATCTATGCATTATTTTATCTCCAACGTAACGATATAACAACGGAGTATAATTAAAAATTGCGAATTAACTAAAGGGGACACATACACCTTAAGATCCTTTTTATTTCACTAAAAGAAAAAAAAATAGGCTGAAAAAAAATTAAGATTGGTTAATTTTGCGGCTTCTTACTAACCCTGTAAATAAAATATTTTCATCCCTAAACACTGGGAAAGTGCCTCTAAATTTACAGGAGGTTTCCTTGACTAAGAACATTTCAAATTAAATTGTATGTCTATGTACTGTAGTATTCAGGTTGAAACAATAATCTGTTGAAGTTCCTGGAGGGCTCTATATGTTTGTTGCAACAATGCTTATCTCTGCAATCAACGAAAGCTTCTTTCAAGTCCAGTGCCCACATTATGAGATGTGAGTCTTCGATGAGCGACTTGCTAAGAGTATCTTATAAGGGCGCTTCCAACTCAGATGCATGTTTGACAAAACGGCGATAAAAGTGAAACATGCCGAGAAAATTTAGGAGGTCGTGAGCTATCTTCGGTAGAGAGTAGACGAGAATAGCTTAAACTCGATCTTTAAGCGGGCGAACACCTGCAGCTGACACCAGGTAACCCAAAAATCAAACTTCCAGCTGGCCGAATGTACACTTGTCGAGAGTAATAATGAGGCCATACTGATGAAGGTACTTGAATAAAATCTCAAGATGTCAGTGGTGCTGCTCTTGCGATCTTGAGTAAATCAAAATATCCATGTCCATGTAACAAAAAGGTAAACCTCTAATCACCTTATCGAGCGCTGAAATGTTTGGCTAGCATTTTTCAATCCAAATGTCATGAAGGGAAATGTGTATAATCTCAGGGGTGTTGTTATGGCGGTCTTGCAGATGTCATCTGGTTTGACAGGTATCTGTTGATATACCTTGACCGAGACGATCGCCGAGAAAATAGTCAATCCTCCGATGTTGTTAGCATAGTCGTGAATATGGTGAACAGTGTAAAGATCCGGGATTGTTCGGATGTTCAGCCCACGAAAATCGCCACAAGGTCGACAGCTATTTTTACTTTTACGTGCGAGGTGTAATGTCGATGACCCCTGGTTCTCAGAAGGACGTCATCACCAGCTTGCAGCATTTGATTAAGGAGGTACCTGCGTGCTACTTTTGCTAGTTCTTTTCTAGGGAAAAGATATATTGAGCGTCATAGTTGAATAAGTCACATGTAATGCGCAGTAACCTTGTGCGCATACTGTTCTGCTCGTTGTTTGCATACTCAGTATACTAGTCAAAGATTTATATCGAACAACCGAACGAGTCAACCGAATCAAAGACTTACATAGAAAATGAGTGATACAGAAAATGAGTTTTTACCCGTGCGCTATTATTGGAAAGGAAAAAAAGTGCCAGAAAAAGTTTTTCTGAATAGGATTCGACTTCAGAAAGCAGGCAGAAATTTGAATGATTATTGGCGATTAGCACTCGCAAAAACTAACCTCAACGCGGATACCGATACTTCAAATAAAATGTATTTGGATATAAAAGGTCGCAGAATTGTACATTTGAGTACACTTGCCAAAAACTTGAAGTGTCGCAAATGCAAAAGAATCCTCTCTTTAGGAAAAATTATAAGCGAGAAGCAAGAAGGACTAAGTTCTATATTGAAAGTAAAGTGTAGTATTCCATCATGTCAAACTGTGACTACTGTACAAACTGGTAAAACTCATAATTGTACACAAATTGTCTCACATAAATCAAGTGAAAAAGTCTCCAACGGACCATCTAATTTAAATGAA